AGAAACAATAGGGAAAAATATCATGCAGGAGTGGGTCAGGAGACAGGGGGGCGTGTCCGAGGTGAGCAGGTGTCCAGGGGAAGTGAGTCCGGGGTGAACAATCCAAGCATAAATCCAAAAGGGAAATCCAATATGGGAGGCAGAGTCCAAGACCAGGGGATCCATCCAAAGTAATTAAAAACCCAACCAGGTCGGGACCGGCGGGGCAGGGAATCAGGAACAGGAAACTAAAAACATAATGGAGCCAGACGCGGCAGGACCCCAGGCTCTCACGAAACGGGATTCAATGAGAAGCGTAGGGGTGACGCCTGCATCTGACTTAATGTGGGGCAGAACTAAAACAGGAGCAGGTAATGGGGCAGAACAAGGAAGGGCTAGAGCGCCCTTAAGATGGGGAGTAGCAATTGTGACAACAATGTTTTCTTCAGCTTGTGAAATGCATGATAAAACTTGAATTCAATGCACCCTCAGGATAGGCAAGGACCCAACCTGGCTGCACTAAAACATCTTGAATAATTTGGTAAAAACTTTAATGAGCTGAATTACTTCCTGTAGTTATTACCTTAAAGGGAGATACAACCAAATAACAAAGTATATACTAAATGTATGAATAGAATATCCCCAAAATAAAATGTATCACTGTATACTGTACTTGTCTTTCATAATCTTCTTTTACCTTCTCTTTCATAATCTTATGATCACAAATACAAGAATACTTTGCATTCCAATACTTTGTGAAGGTGCTTTGACTTTGTTGCTCAGAGCACCCTTTCAAGACTAAATGAATTATTGTTTCCCTGAAAAGATCTTCACACATTTTTGATTACAAACCCTAACAGGCAGCTTTCAGGTTGGCAGTTTATCAAACAATGCTGGGACTAAAGAATGTGAAATTTTGGCAATTTCAGTTTTGAATTATCTTTAAAAATACCTAATACCTAATAAGTACTGTAATGAATTTATGTATACCAAATTAAACCACAAAAGTGGTGACCCTTGGGTTTGACTGATGCTCTATTCTGGTTTTAAAGGCAAATATAGACATGCAGAAGCTTACAGCAACTGTGATGTTATCAAATGAGAATGATTTTCAGCCTTCAGTCTGCTGGTAAATTAGAATGCTAACAGAAAAGGCTCTTAGAACTCTCACCACTGTGCTCACAACTACAAAGAAATATTTTTGTTGAATTTTTTCCCTGCCTTTAGGTATGATTGACTTCTCTATAAATAAGATGGCTTGTGAGTCCTGAGCATACCAAATCTCCAAATGTAATAAAGACTGTGGTGCCAGCAGTCTTGATTCAGTAAACTCTGCTCAAGTAAACTCTGAGACTGCGCACATTTTTACTTTACAAATAACCCAATGCTAACTAACAGCAGCAAATTTTTCATTTTCTAATTCATAACAGTTAAAATAACTGATAATGAAAATCTTAAATAATAACAAAAATCCTTCTTTTTATTATGGGTTATTCAAACTGTAACTGATGAAACATTGTGGCAAAGTTGACAAAGCAAATATCACATAGTGTGTAGGACATCATAGATCACAAAAATCCCATATAAATGTATTTCTGAGTTTGCAACGTAAGAAATTGTAAAAACAAATAATACTTTCTTAAAAATAAACCCTTTATATAGAAATCTTAAAAGCATTGCACAGAACAAAGTAATGCTTAACATAAATAATTAACGTCCATAAAACATGAGGATCACATTTATCCACATTAAATGGAGTTTTTAATGAAAGTTCGGGAGGAATGAAAGCAGCTGAGCACATTCGACACTAATCCTGACGTAAGCAACCGTTCTCCATATATATCAAACGTCACCCTCTCCTCTTCCTCGTTCGTTTTCTGCATGGTTCGTTCTAGCCTAGCTCGAATCCGTGCTCCCTTCTCATGGATCTGCAAATTCGCTGCTTCGATGAAGACCTTTTCTGCAGCACAGGAGACTCTCCTACCCCTCTCGTCCAGTCCCCCCCCCCCCGATCCCCTCACCTCCATTTCATCGCCTCCTTCACCCGCTGTGCCACATCAGTGCCACTCATCTCCCAGCCAGTCATCACAAGATCCAACTCCTCACCGAAGACTGCGTTCCGCCGTCGTAGTCCCTCTCTCATCACAAACCCAGCCTACCCATTCCTCCACGGCAAAATCTCCAAATAACCCCCGCTTCTCTCCAGGATGTCCCAGCCACCGCGCTTCACGCACATCGGCTCCCCTTTCTCCTGGATAATCTCTCGCGATTTTCAACTGGACCGTAGCAAGCCTCCAGAGGATACTTTGAAAACATGGCGTCCGTTTTAAAAGAAACGCTTCCAAAAAAGCTCTGTTTTCCCTGTACTTAACCACAGTCTACACAAAGGAAACATCAGCTACACAGCTTCCCCCAGCGCCCTCTGATGACATCACCCGCGCCGCCACTCATCCCAACGTGAGAATCCTGAGGCCGTCCGCACCTCTGCCTGTCGCGTCTTCTGTCTTGTCTTGTCCTGATATATCCGTGTCTATGTCTCTTCCCCAACCAATCCATTCATCTGCCAAACAACTGCACCTAGCATCTTCCACCCAGCGTCCTTCCCTAAACTCCTTGCTGCCGAGTCTAAGGCCCCAGGCTCATGCCCCTCCCCAACCCCCTTCTCTGCTTAATCTAATTTCTGCACTCTCCTCAGTCTCTACCTCCGGCGTCCAACACGGCTCAAGCTCCGCCAGCTTGGTGCCTTCGGCCCCGGTTTCTTTTCTTTCGGCCCCTGCTGCTGTCTCCACGGCCCAAAGGCCATCCGGTAAATGACCCTTAGCTCAGCCAGCTTACGGCCCTTACCCTCCCCCACCCCCTGGCGTCCAAGACGACTCGGTAGGCTCCTCAGTCCTTCATGCAGCCTTCGCCCCTGCTTCAATTCCTCCTCACCAGTCTTCGGCTTCCATATCCTAAGCCAATGAGCTTCAGGCCCCAGATCCGTCTAACCCCTCCTACCACAATCTGCTTTCCGCTCTTCTTCCCTCCTCATCTTCTCCCATCCCTGGTGTCCAACACGGCATCAGTCATCCCATCCCTTCAGCCCTGGATTCCAATCTCCCCTTTACTAAGAACTTTTCTCTCCGAACAGGCGTTCCACTCCCAGCTCCTCCAAACGCACTAAAGTTTAGTCCTCCTCCCATTCCCTTTTCACTCTGGCAGCAAATTCTACGAGGTGCGGACGTCAATCTAGCTCACCTTCTCTCTTCCTCCGCTTACATCTCCGATTCCAGAACAGTCGACTGTGGCTCGATTTCGGTTACTCTCAAATCGTCTGACCCTCACTCTGCTTCAGTCCTTCGAATTTCCGTCTTCCGCTTGGCTTTCAGCATTTTTCGTGACATCATGTGCGGAACGTCGTCAGGAAGTCGACGATTACATGCACATCATCCTCGATCTATCTGTCCGTTTCGAGGGCTCCCTGTTCTATGATTATCAACCACAAGCAGTTGTCGGCCAAGGCCGCTGCCCGCCTACTCCAATGGAACCAGCGCACCTACTGGGGAGCCCTCGACATTGAGCTTTACTCGTCAGAGCTCTTTCCTGCGACTTCTGTTCCTCTTGGACACATTCATCAAATCTTTGCCCAAATACAGTCCGCAAGCTCAACCCTGATTCTGCCCCTTCTCCCCCTCAGCATCAGTTCTCCCGCCAAGTCTTCTTCAAACCTTCCCGGTCCAGAGACTTTCGCGGTCGCCCTATCGTGATTATCAGAGGCCAACAAATTTGCAACAACTTCAATTCCTCGACATGTACCTCTTCCCTTTGTCACGTCCTTCACATTTGCAGCTTCTGCGGCGAAGCTCATGCTCGCTCTGCCTGCCCCCGCCGGCCCTTCCATGCTCGCTCCACCTTCAGCGTTCCCAAATGACTACTGGCTTTTCTGTCTACCCCAATCGATATCCCAGCTCTTGCTTCCGAACTGCTCCATCAACCCGACCCAACTTCCACCCACATCTTACTCGACGGCCTTTCCTTCGGATTCTCACCAGGCCTGTGCACACTTCCTTCTTCCCCCGTCTTTTGCAAAAATTTGCAATCTGCCACCGCCGATCCTCAGTCCGTTGATTCCTTGTTAGCATCTGAAGTCAAGAACGGTTTCATGATCGGCCCATTTGACTCTCCCCCATTCCCTGCATACCGCATCAATCCCATCGGTATAGCGGTCCGTAATTATATAAAAAACGCCTTATAATCGACTTGTCAGCCCCCCATAAGTCCCGCGTGCCAAGTCTCAATAGCCTTATTCCCAGTTCAGACTTCTTCCTCCACTATGCCACAATCGACCATGCCATTTCTCTCATCAAAATCGCAGGTCCGGGCTCCTGGGTCGCTAAGGTGGACATCTCCAGTGCCTCTTGACCCAGACTTCTGGCACCTCTTCGGAATTCATTGGCGGAACAAGTTCTTCTTCGCCGTCCGCCTTACTTTCGGATATAGGAGTAGCCCAAAAATTTTTGATACCTTAGCCGAAGCTCTCTGCTGGATCCTTCTGAATAACTATAGACTTCCTTTTCTCGTCCACCTTCTCGACCATTTCCTTACCATAGATTTTCCTCACGCCCCACCTGCAAGAGCCTCTTCCACACTTATTTCTGTTTTTGGGAACCTAGGGGTACCTCTTGCTACAGACAAAACAACCAGTCCCTCTCATATAATCCAATTCCTTGGGATCACCCTCAATTCCATCAATTTCTCCCCCTCCCTGCCTCGCGACAAGATCGACAGGATCCAGACGTATATCTCTACCTATTCTTCCGCCAAATCTTGAACAAAGAGGGAACTTCTCTCTCTGCTCGGCCACCTCAATTACGCCATGCGTATCATTCCTCAAGGGCGGTCATACATCTGCTACCTTCTCGACCTCGCCTCTTCCGTGTCCTCTTCTTACCACCACGTGAGCCTTTCAGCCGACTGCAAATCCGAGCTCAGGCTTTGACAGTTTTTCTTGGCCAACTGGAATGGCATTTCTCTCTTCTACGATGACCTCCTCTCCGACGCCGAGGATATCCAGCTTTTCACAGACGCAGCCCCCTCAGTCGGTTTCGGAGACTATTATAAAGGCCAATGGTATGTGGCCCCTTGGCCTCCTGAATTCTCTTCAATCCCTCTCGCCGACTAGTCATCAGCCTTGTTCGAAATATTTCCAATTGTCGTTGCTGCTTCTCTTTGGGGCCACAATTGAAAACAAAAATCCGTCCTTATCCATTCAGACAACTACGCGGTAGTCCATATAATCAACAAAGGAAGATCTTCATCTCGATCTATCATGAAATTTCTCCACCGCCTTAAATGGATTCCTCGTGAAATTGAGTTTTTAATGAAAGTTCGGGAGGAATGAAAGCAGCCGAGCTCATTCGACACAGCTACTGCAATTCTCACTAATCCTGACATAAGCAACCGGTCTCCATATATATCAAATGTCACACTCTCCTCTTCCTCGTTCGTTTTCTGCATCCCTCCTCCACCCCCTCTCCACCTTTGCAGCTACCCCATTGGTCGCATGGGGGTCCTATCCTCCCTGTCCAACGGCCGGGAGGTTGGCCCTCAGCCAAGCGGGTTACGCCAAATCTCCACATCTCAATAAACGATTCTAATATCTCCCAAGCTTTCGGCTGCCATCATTCCTCGTGAATATACAGTAGTTAGTAGTCTTTGAATAGACTCTTTTTGAAGTGTGTTATGAGGAGCTGGTACTGTACTTCAGAAGAGAAATGTACTACCTTTCTTCTATATAGAATTACTCCTCCACACCATTTGGTTTCTATCATGTTATTTTGTGTTGTAGTGTCAATAGCAATTATTTTGTGTACAGCTAAACATTCCAGAACGATTTGTGCATATATTTTGGATAATTATCAAGCTGGAGTGTCCATTCTTGGCCAAGTTAAAGCTTTTTGGTAGAAAGAACCAGATGTTTTGGCAATATGTTATCTTTTAGAATTAAAAATGTGCATCTATTTTGCAAAACAATTTTAAATATAATTTAGACAATATTACACAGTGGGCAGGACTATTTTATCAACATGAGTTTAATCATTTTTTTTGCTAAACATATGCCCAATGACCAAGTCTGGAAATTTAAAATTTCAATTTATCTAACCATGAGATATTTTTAAACTTGTCATTGAAATAATGTTTGGCAAGTTTGAGAGTGATCTATTTGTGCATCGTATTCAGAAGACTCTGAAGGAACATTTTCAACAAACCTACAGATACTGTATGGATATATGCAAGTATATCCAGAAGATGTCACTGTGTATTGCAGATTGCAGGAAACAGTAAACCTTGAGTCCTCATCATTTGGGGGGATTCCATTGTATTTCCAAAGAACAGTTATTGTACATTTGTTTTTTTGTTAATTTATTAAAATAAATACTGATGAATAAAACAGATGTGAATAAATGTAACATTTTTTTTGTAGGATACATTTATGACAAATGTTATTTTTTCTCTGTACAGTGATATTATGATTATGGTTTAACATTGTTTGCCTTTTTTTTAAAAAAGGCACAGTATCCAATCTGTAGCCCAATCTTCTATATGTTGTTTTAATTCCTTTTTTTTTGGGGGGGGGGGGTATATATAATCTGGTAGGCACTATATGTGGAATGTTATTGTCAGAGAAAACAATATGAAGCTCCTATCGCTGTGTACTGTGGAGATCCATTGTGGCTAAAGGGGGCAGTATGATGTGCATATTCTCTGGTGCATGCTCAATAGCATACACATCTCTTAAGATAGTTAATACCTTAGCATGCCATACACATGCCTGTGCCTGTGTGTGAATACAAACAAGGGATCGCAGTAACTGTAATAAAGAAGAGGAGAGTATGGTTAGTCTTAGTCCCTTCATTATCAATTTATTTAAACATAAAATGTGACTTACCAACTGTTCCTCCCTTCAATCCTGACTGAAAGCTTCCAGTCTCATGCTGTACTGCAGCAAATGAAAGAATTGGAAATTCGGCATTACCATACTATGACTCAGATGTTATCTATCTACCCCTTACACCTACAGTACCATGAAGTTCAGACCCTACAGTATAACAATTGGATTTTAGTTATGGAGTTCTAAACTTGTTTAAAAACTGTGCTTGCACAGATTGAGCTGTCTGAAAACTGCAGGGCCACTCGTCTTTCTGTCATGCCGAAGTGAATGAAAGCATGGTGAGCTGATTAAAAGTGAGTAGAGAGACTCTGTGTGGGTAAGTGAGTTAAGACCAGAGAGTTGGTGTATGTCCGATGGGAGCCCAGCTGTGTATGGAAAGATATAGGAAGATCTAATCTGTGGCTTCCTGGCAACAAGTGAAGTCCAATGAGCTTGAGAATGCCCCGAGGGACCTAGGTCTAGGTTGTGTTTTCTTTCTTCTCTTTTCGGCATGGAATAAACCTACTACTTGTTCCTTTGCAGTCTATGCATGCTGATGCAGCTACCCAACTGAACATATACTAAACATGACATTTATAGTAACTGAGAAAGATGGTCTAAATTTTGTGATGAATTGGTACATGCCCTTGAAGATTTTACATAAAAATAAAACAAGGCGTATCCCTGTTCAAGGCATGGCCAAGACATATATATATATATTACTAGATCTTTTACTAGATCTATAAATATATATATATATCACTAGATCTTGCACACTTCTTGCTGCGCTTTCTTTTTAGGTAGCCACCCCAACAATGTCATAATGAATGGGAAATGCATTCTGAAAATGTCATCACATACCTGGAGTGTTCAACATGTCTATTGTCAAGACACTCTGACACATTCTGATTTATAGTGAATGTTAAGTTTTAACATTATACATATGACACTTTACGGGTTGTTACAATAGCACTACAGCCTCACTATGCCACACTAAGTGGTATCTTCCACACAGGAGAATAAGGAATTTAAATTCCTAAATATAGTAAGTTGAGAGGAAAACACAGTTGTACGTTTACTGTACTTGCCTCAAATTCCTTGTAGACCAAAAGATAAAACTCTGAAGATGACGAACTGTGAATCGTGATTAGTGAATTGCCATTGGAACATACAGTACTTGATATCATGTTTTTTATTTGTTAAACAACAGGTAAACCCCAAATCAGGTTTTTCTTGTGTTGAATCTTTATCTCCTCATATTTTCCAATTTTTATTTGAAATCACAATTATTCTATTATAATATTTGAAAATACAATTTTTGGGAGGTTTCCTCTGGTAGGACAAAGAGGCAATTTTTTCAGTGAGACTGTCCCCCTCAACCATCATGGGGGTACAGCACCCACACAAAAGTACTGTTTGTAAATGTATGGGTGTAGAGCATTACAGAAAAAATGCACTATACTGTATGTTTTCTGGAAATGGCCTTTCCCGTAGGAAATCAATTACTGTAGCCAAACTACACTGTGACTTCATGTAATCCTACAGAGCTCAGAGAATGAACAATATCATCAATATCACCTGTCTGCATCAGAGCTTGAATTGCAGTGTGTAGTGCCTAGTAAGAGTGGTTATATGGTGCACAAACTCCACACATACCCACAATAGTGTCGTCAGCACTTTTTTTGTTTACTGTAGCTCAAATGAAGTCTTCAGCTGTCATCTAAGGAAATACAGTGAGCTTCTCTGAATTTCAGTGGTCACTCTTGTAGATCTTGAAAAACACAATGCAACGGTATGAAATCTTCATGGCAATATGTAAGTACTCCAGATGTTTTATCTCCCAAATAGAATTTTATTAACACTATTTTTATTTTATTCTAAATGTTTCAGTCGAAATACTTGTTATTTTCCACTGTTTTATTAATATTATTACTGTAACTTATGTTCAATATTATTGAAGTCCTTAAAATGCGGTAATCAAAGGAAAGTAAAATATCTATGTGGACCAACATACCTCTCCAGGCAAATTTACTGTTCCTTCCCATTCATATACTCTAAAAAGTCTATGTAAAGTCATTTTATTTCTTTAAAAGTCATTTTGAAAAAAAAAAGAAACAAAATGTGTTTATTGAGTTTCTTAGTGTGCACGACTATACCAAAACACAGAAACAAATTTTAAAAATCTTGAACTGAGCTGTACAACATACACAATATCAATATGAATCACACATTATAATAAATACAGAAGTAAGATTTTAATAGCAATCATAGTGAAAAGCAATACGTCCTCATAATGATTACTGTACATTACATTTCATCATTTATATGGACCAAAGTTTTCATCCATAAATCTTAATGGCTTCTAAAGTATATTTAAAATGAGTCTCATCTAAATATAAAATAATAACAATGGTTACAAAGATATGGAGGCCAACTGGGCCATAAAGCTCATTTAGTAGTTACTTGCTAATTGAACTAAGATTCTTATTCTGCCATTTCCTGAAAGAAGATGGTAATTCTGGCCTTCATTGATGTGCAACTATTTCCATTCTTCCACAACTCACAATTCAATCTGATTGATAACGTGGCCACCTCATATTGAAGTTAATATTATTATGATAGATAAACCACAATTCTGTGTTTTATAATGGCTAGCTACAGTATATTACATAATCCATGTTATTATTGGGAATTGCTGCCTTATTCTCCTATCCATGCTTTTTAGTTTGTCCATTATAAGACAGCCAACAGGATATTGATTTACAATTGCTAACATTTTCATGAAACTTTTGACATAAATACGGGTGAAAATCAATATTTATTCGTTGATATATTGCATTAATTACCATTTTGGCAGAAGTAGTGTGTCTTTTGAACTTATATCTTAAGTGAAACAAAATCTTATTAGGCCTTAACAAAATGTCTTATTGTAGATCACATTCCAAAATGTTCCAATGTTTCAAAATAATATTCTTAATACAGTTTAATTATAATTAAATAGCTCATAGAGTCTAATTTAATTATTTTATGCCAATTTATTATATAATGTACCTTTTTTTATAATACTAAAAATAGTAATAATAATAATAATAATAATAATAATTGCTTACATTTATAAAGCGGTTTTCTGGACACTCCACTTAAAGCGCTTTACAGGTAATGGGGTCTCCCCTCCACCACCACCAATGTGCAGCATCCA